GGAGGGGCCTACATAGTAATTAATAGACACTTTACCTCTGAAAATCGACCAAGTTACCCAAGTTATTCAAGTTTACCAAGTAAGTTCTTCTGGTATTGCTCCCAAGTCAAGCAAGTATTATTTTATTCAAAAATCGTGCCAAGTAAGTCAAGTTGACTGTCAAAACTTGCTTGACTTGCTTGTTGCGAACTCTGGGAACTGGAAAAAAAGACAAGACGCACCCTAGACGTATTTTTGACTACCTACAGTGCTTGTGAAAGTTTCCTGTGTGTAGTGCTATTTCAGGCCGCACATGCCAAGGCGCTTTGTGTTCAGTGAAGAGTGTTTGGTGGATTGGGCCGCTCCTGCCATCTTATATTGGGCGTTTGTTTACACAGCAACGCCATTGTTGCATTCATTGAACAGCTGCTCCGTTCCTTCCACATTTACACCTCAACTAAACAACATCATCGACAACATCTGGACAGAGGCAAGTTTTTTTTCTCAATACATGCCTCGCATCCCGCTGCAGCCATGCTAACATATCTAGATAGACAGAGATTTGAACAAATACGAGCTTTGTGGGAAACGGCGCGTTCGGATGAAGAAAATACAGTAGATATGGTAAGCTGGAGGGACAAATCAGCGCCTCAGCAGCCGGTGAGCGCGGAACTGCACGACAATGGCGCGCGCAAGTTTCGGAGAAAGCTCAGTTACGGCCTCTCTCTAATATCGAATCCTCTCTCTCAACGAAAGATCATCCCGGGACGCAATCAAGGTGAAATCAATTCATTAGCTGTCACTAAGCCCTCCACAACTGACGCCATCACTGTGGCCTCTGCATGCGATCGCCCGGCTTTACTAGCGCGCGAATCAACGTCTCTCACAAACTTTCATGACTTAAAAAAAGGTCTAGTAGGACAAGCGGATGCCGATACCTCGCCCCAGGGTGATGATACCGATATCACCCCCAAGCCACTTCCTCGCTCGCGCACATTGGGCTTCATCCCAATCTCGGTCGGTACTGAGCCTGATACACTAGCGACAGGTATCAAAGAATCCATCAAGCTTTGCTCTTCGGCAGTGATTCCGATATCTGAGCTAGATTCAGTGCCTTCAAAGATTCCCTCACCAAGTCCTCCGTTGTTCAAACATCGTTGCGCTAGTCCACGCCGATATCTTCACCACCATACATCCTTCAATGCATCACAACAAACCAAATACATTGCTGCAGCTCAAGCCTTAGTCATCCCCAACAAACGATCGCCTGCAAGAATCTCACAACCGTTACGGTCACGAACAACACCAAACCTTATGAAGGGATCGAACGCGCGACAGACTGCAGGGTTCATGGCTCCTAGGCAACCAGGACCCAAGAAACCCAATGTATCCCAAAGATCCGAGAAGCCAGTACTACAGGAAAACGTCCCTATCGAAAAGCGCATCAATAGCAGGCGGCCGCAAACACAAGAGAGTATGCTGAAGCGTGAATCGCTTGTAGTAGCGGGAGCTCTATACGATAGGAGGTCTTTTGGACCAAACACTCCAATTATGCAGGGCAGAAGGACAAGCTTTGTAACTCTACCAACTACAAGCAAACAAACGAGCCCCCGTCTTACTCAAAACACTCCAGTCACTGCGAAGAGAATTCGATGTGAGGGGCAGACCGCACGGCCACCACCAAGCTGCCTTACTATGAAGCCGGATCTAGCCTCAATGCCTTCATTTCCAGACACCTCGACAAAGAAAATATCACATAGGGTTCGGTCCTCAAAGCCCAATATGCTACGCTCCTATACACAAGCAGATTTGTCGAGGAAAACACTAGATACGCCGAATGGCTTGGGTGGCGTTTGGCAGCCGTCTCGTACGCTTGCTGTGGTAAATCACGAGGTGAGCAAACTTTCACGCTGCAATACTTTCCATCATCTTGGGACTCAGCCGGAAGTTGCTCCGACAGTGCCTCTTCTGCCACTGCACCACAAAAAGCTATCCCTGTCAGAGATAACGCAGCATTTACGTATGAGTCAAGATACGCCCGCCACGCCTCGCCACGGAAGAATAGTATCCGATAATTTTCCATGCCAGTCAATACCCGAAGAGAACGGCGAAGAGGTGTCAAGCCAGGGCTATACAAGTATGCCACTTGAGGTTGCAACAGCCTCTGCTCCGTCAGAGACACCCAGTTCATCAACCTTCAGTCTTACGATATTTCCCTCGTTACCAGATACACCTCAACCTTCAGTCATGGGAACACTCCCTGAATTGGGAATAACAACGAGATCTTCCAAAGAAACTTCTCGCGAGACTTTAGGAGATGTTCGGGGAGAAGAGACGCCGGAAGATGCTGACAATAGTGTTTTCCAGGTCAAAGATTACATGCCACCGCTGTATTGGGCTGGGAGATTCCAGTCTCGGTATGACCAGTGGCGTACTGAAGCTATGATTGCGGAATTGAATACTCAGCCGGGCCAGCGAGGAGAGGACCCGTTGAGCGAATACAGGCTCGACCAGGGAAACCTTGCCGCGTGTCATATCTTCGCGCAGCTGCGTGCTCTATGTACCACTGATCAAGCAGTAGATAGTCTTTGGGTCTGTGATGTTTCCTGTTTCTTTGGATATCCACTAACTAATTAATTGTAGGAGTTTGAGTACAAGTATCGAAAGGATCACAGGATGCTTGGCAATCAAGCTGATCTCCCAAGAAGAGCCCCGCCTAAGCAAAGCGATAGCGAAACTGTCCTAGAGACCGGAGCTGGTACTCTTGAACGAGCTTTAAGAAAACTGACTCCCCGCAAGAGTAGCCTTGTCAATCTCATGAAAGGCAAAGGATGGAACAAATCGGATGAGATGAAGGAGAATGATACGTTGGAGGAGGATTGGGAGACATCTTCGAGGAAGCCCTAGACCTTTACTCATGCCCACGAGCATATCGAGGGTGAAATGGACTTTCAGCTCTCAATGATTGAATGGGCATTCATTGAGAAACAGTATCTACATAAAGTTACATTGGACAAGGCGATGTGACACAGCAAAGAGTACTGAAGACATTGCTTGTGGAATTCTGCAGTGAAGCGGCAGTGCAGCTTTAGGGGATGATGAGCCCGGAGCTTAATGAGTACGTAGCGAGGGCATATCGATAACGTATGGCCAGATGAAATGTAATCAGAATAGATCACAGGAATTCTGCAACTGCTATTCCTTCTTCTCACTCGGCTTGGGTGATAGCTCTTCAACGATATTGTTTGGATCTTTCCACGCCAAGGCAACATACTTGGTATGGCTTCCTCGAGCAAAGATCTCGCCTTTGCTGTTGCTGAAGTTGATTGATGTAAAGGCTAATGTTTTGCCGACTTTATTTTTTGTTAGTAAGAAGGATTTGATGACCGCCCAAGATATAGATACATACACTTGTCGCATGATACTTCGGCCTTGATCAAGTCTCCGACCTTGCCGCCCGAGGAGAGGTAAGTCACATTCAGGTCAGTCGAGACGCCGGTTGCGAAGAGACCGCGAGATGCTACGGCGAGAGAGCCACCGAGATCAACTGCAATGTATCAGAACAGACGAGATCGAGCTAGAACTACTCAAAAGTACCCATGCTGGCAATTGTTCCTCCATGGAGAATGCTTAACCGGTTCTGGGAGGTGCAGATTAGCAGATGATACAACATGACATTCTCGTATGACAGCAAACAAAAGTAGATGATAAGCTTCGGTAATAATATATATGAGATTTATATGAGATGAAGAGATAGAATACTCACTGTGTGCTCCTTCTTTATGTCCAGCTCAAACTTGACGCGTCCCGGGACTGCCGACGTCACTCGAAGCTAATGAAGCAATTGGTAATGAGCCTTGTTCATTCAGTCAAATTGAATCCCAGAGTAGACTTACCTCGTCCAGAAGCCTTGGAAACAGTTAGGTCAATGATGTCGATATACTATCTAATCGTGGGGGTGTACCTTGGCTCCAGACCCGAGTTGGCTCGGAATGATTCCCAAACCTATTGCATTGGTCAATGGCCATGATTTTAGTATTTCTCATTGCCTATATCACTCACGGATCGTACAAACTTCAGCGCCGTCATAATCACAGTCTTGCTTCTTGGTGTGCGAAGAGTGATGTAGTTGGGTCCCGCTCGGCAGTTGGCTAGGTATCTCGGAAGCTAGACAGGGGTGGAGCGGAATTGTGGGGGAACATCTTTCCGCTCACTGGGCGCGCGCGTCACCTCACTTTCTTTGAACGACCAGCGACTTTCGACTTTCGACTCAAACAGGCTGCAGCCGGCGCAACACACGCGTCTTGCCCGCCTCTCTCCCTCCTGCTCATTGCAGTATCCGAACATGATAATACGGCGGTAAAACAACGTTAATTCTTCTCCACATCCACCAAGATGTCGGCCTCGTCCTCTGCTCAGGCGTTGGAATACCTTGAGGGTCTCCCGCTGGCCACACACAAGAAGCTGTATGAGCAGCCTTCGACAGTCCTCGCGGTATTCCGCTGCATGCTACCGCATCTTGGTAAGTAAAGGCAAATCGAGTAGTGCTTGCAGAGCTAACAAGAGTCTCAGCCAAGTCAATAGTCATGGCTATGCTCTACATGCCCACTCCCTTCCCCGCCGCCGACCTTGATACCTGGTTCAAACCCACTGCACGCAAAGAGAAAGAGCGGGCGACCTTTACCCTCGACCGTCTGCATATTGTTACCTCGGCGCGACAGGACAACGGCACTCTGTCGTGGACACTCAATCCAGGCTTCCAACGCAGCCTTCGAAACGCCATCGAGGGCTCTGGTACTCATCGATCTTTTGGAGTGCCGGCGACAAAAGAAGAGAGTGGAAAGCGCGTCAGTATCGAGTTCTTGGACGAGTATTCGAGGTCGCAATGGGAGGGCATATTGTACTACCTTGTAAGCGGTGCGGCCGGTCTCAGCAAAGACAGCATTTCTAGAGCTGAGGTTGGTCCTGGCACCAAGAAGCTATTACATACTGGAGATCTGGTGCGCACGATACATGGTAGTCCAAGAATCACAAAAGATGGCTTCTCTTTCGTGCTACAAGAGACGAATGCGCAGGTTTGGAGTCTGCTGATTGTCTATTTGAAGATGACGAACGAGGTAAGCATGAATATACAGATTTTGACTGACACTGTTTAACACTATTACAGCTCGGCATGTCTGAGACCGAAGTTCTCTCATTCCTCTTCATGCTTGGCTCGCTTGAATTGGGACAAGATTACTCTACCTCCACCCTCTCGGCGACCCAGCTCCAAATGCTCGAGGATCTCTCTGCAATGGGTCTTGTATACCGCTCCGACAGGAATGCACGAACTTTTTACCCCACCCGGTTAGCTACAACGCTCACGTCAGACTCTGGAAGTGCCATGTCGGCCTCCTCCAACGATATTGCACAAGCAAGCACAAGCACCACCGGACCTCCAACGGCAGCAAATAAGGGCTTCATAATCATCGAAACCAACTACCGCCTCTATGCCTACACCAACAGTCTGATCCAAATCGCCATTCTCTCTCTCTTCACCAAACTTCAGCATCGCTTTCCCAACCTCGTCTCGGGAAAACTAACAAAGGAGTCTGTGCACAAAGCCGTCCAGGCAGGCATTACATCAGCACAAATTATCTCCTACCTAACCACCTATGCCCACCCGCAGATGCAAAAAACCGTCCCCTACATCCCGCCAACCGTCATGGATCAAATTCGTCTCTGGGAATATGAGGGCGAGCGTGTCGAAACGACAACGGGTTACTTGATGCGCGAGTTTGGTTCGGACGCAGAGTATAGAGATGTTTTGAACTATGCTAGTGCTTTGGGGGTGCTAGTCTGGCAGAATGACGCTAATAGGTGCTTTTTTGTCAGCCATGTCGAACAGATTAGCGCGTATTTAAGGAAGAAGAAGGAAAACAGAGAAAACGCTAGGGGTCGATAAGAGAATGGAAAGACATATATGGCGTTGTATCGTTGGCTCTTTGTATAACGTGGTTCACAAGCGAATCGGTTGCCCAAGCGAATCGGTCGCGCCCCACCAGCGCGTCAACGTCAAGGCGATATCACGCGCTTTTATCACAATTAATAAACTATCGCAGTATACTATATTATTC